AGTGACAGTGGCTAGAGCCATAGAGTCATTGTCGTTCCGGTGTCGTTCGTTGTACTCAACCAGATGTGCATCAAGAACATCCAATACTACCTTGGTTTTCAAAGGTCGTTTGGTGTGAAAGATTGCTAGTGTCGTCTCCATGGTGTTGGGTAGTTTGGCGACGATGGTTTCACCAAAGATTTCGTGAATGTCATCAGTGAAGTTGACTCCAACGGCGTGTAAGAGAGCTAGAGAGGATCTACAGTCCTTCAAATATTGAGATAATGATTGATAATTGATGCGGAAAAATGATGCGTAGGCTCTGCCTTTACTGCTGGAAGTGGTCGACTGAAATTTTTCCTTCATAAGGAGCCAGATGTCTAAAGGTTTACTGATAAGACCTTTGGATTCGACCATGATTTGGTATTGTTGACTCATATGAGAGTACATGATTCCCGCTGCTTTGCGTTGTCGTATAACGTAGGCTTCATAGAGAACTTTCTGTTCACGAGGCACAGGTCGTTCTTGTGGTTCCGGAACAGGGGTGGCGTCAGAGTCAATGAACTCGTCTAAGGTAGCCGACATGAGTGCTCCGGTGATGTCACCCTTCCATTCAGGGTAATTATCATCATCAAGTTTCACAATTTGAAGTCGAGTTTTGGAAGATGACATGATGATGAAAGAAACAGTGAAAATGAAGAATAGAGTTAAGAGTGACGATGTGTGAGTGAGTTGAAAGAACATGAATCGATCGATCGTGTGCGATAGCCAAAAAAACAAATTTTGAGTTTGTGTGGTGCGATGTGATTATACAGCTAGTTGAGCTGGGCTCATAACCAATTGAATGAGATACCTGTGAATGACAGGTTATTAGCTTTGTTATAAAAGCTAACACACTGATCGAATGAGATTAAACAATCTGATAAATGAAGATTGTTTAAGAGAAAAAGATTTGAGTTCGATGAAGAAAAAGGGATTTACAATTGTATGAAAGTGATGACCCTTTATAAGAACTCAAATCATGACGTCATTCTAGTTTAATGATGTAAGCAAAAAGAAAAACCATAAGCGCATAACACAACCACGCGTCTTTGTCTCAATTGTCACGTGATGTGCCCCCTGATATCTATATGCGCCTTGAAAGCGAGACGATCCACTGAGCTTCAATTCATGCTGTTTTCCACGCGTGGTTACTACACATTCAGGTAGCCAAACAAATACAAGGGGTTTGTGAATATGCCTATAATGATGATCAAGCTAAACAAAAACTCATTGATTTATTTTCGTATCTAAAACTCGAAATTATTCGATACTTGACTGACTCCATCATTCTTTGATTCTTTCCACTAATTGAAACTTGCACTGCAATACTGTAATCAAAAAATGTCAGCCGGACCAATATTTGAGAATGATGATCTATGATGATAGTGTAGGGTGTTATGGCTGATTTTTGTCTTCAGTCAAGCCTACTTGAATGATATCAAAATATTCATTATATCCTTCCTCAAAAGCCATGGCATAGATTCTCTGAATTTAGATGGGTAGAAAAATCTCTGAGATCTCCTGTCTCCGAAATATCTGAGACTGGGTCTAATGATGGACCAATTGAGGAAGAAGAAAAAGAAAAGGCAGTTTTCACGGCGAAGGATTCAGTCTGTTCTTTTCTAGCTTTGAGCCCATCTGTCTTTTATTCACTAGATTTGTGGTAGTGGAAAGAATTTTATTGACTCAAACGTGAAGACACACTCGATATCGGAGAATCTTGGGAGTTGGTCGAGAGATGTTTGGATCATACGACCTGAGCTTCCATTCCTCCATTTAATTTGCATTTTGTATCTTCAAGAAGCCCTTTCTCATTCATAGCTACAATTTCATAAACCAGGCTTCCAATTTGTCCCGATGGTCCTTTGGCAATCGTGGTGGGCATATCAACATGTCTTTGTTTCCTCTTTGTTTCCATGTTGAATATTTTTTTCCTGTGTTCGTGCAAATCCATTTGTGGTACTGGGCGCGAGCCAGAAGTGTGCAGGTTGAGTGACACACTGGAGTGCGCTGATGCGCTGGGTGCGCGCATCTGTCATCA